AGACCAACTAAGAGACCTTGTTCCTTCGAATTTTAATCCAATTTGTAGTTTGCTATAAAGCGCCAAAGATTATGCGCAGAAAAAGTGGATTCATAGGTAATCAACTATGGTGCATCCAGTGGGTATATTCGCGAGATCTTCAAGGGGCCTTCAGAGGTCACCGAAGGTTCTCGGAGAGATCTCCAGAAAACCTTTCAGGATTTATTGAAATATGAAACTCCAACAAAATACTTGCAGAAATAGCCCGCTACAGCCTGTCCAATGGGAATATTATCAAAACCCTCTGATGGTCTTCAAAGGGTATCGATGACAGTCATCGACAACGTCACTGACAACTGCCAGGTGATCGATTTTCTTCACATGAAAATATAAATAAGCTGATTGTGGCCGTATCTATCGAAAAGATAAAAATTCTCAGATATAAGCGGTATTTGTGCGATAAGAAGCCTATATACGAGAAAAAAAAACACAACTGGCAGATGTATCTAAACGATAGTCGATTACTTATAATTTATGCTGTTTATGAACAATATTCTAATATTGTTCTATATTAAGTGAAGTAAATTCTAACATTAAGTGAAAACAGCCTAAACACCTCAATTTTGATAAAACTCCGTTTTCGCTGCGTTTTTGAATTCTATTCGCAAAATAAACATTGCCATCCGATCCAGCGTAGTCGATCACGTATGTTCCATCCGATTTCAAGGCTACCTGGAAGAATGGATATGAAAACGTCGAAAGAAAAAATGTCGAAGGAAAAAATGTCGAAAAAGAAATATCGAAAAATAAATGCCGAAGGAAAAAATATCGAAGGAAAATATGTCGAAAAAAAAATGTCGATCATATAGAACGTCGAAAATTCTAAGATGTAAGAAAATGTATGTACAATTTCTTACATTTTACATTCTTTCTGAGCTGACCAGAAGAGACGAGTGTTTTTCATTGTGCAAGATACAGGAAAAGGAAAATAGAGACATCTTTTTTTCACGTTCTCTTTTTCGCAGCATTGTTTCATGGCTTTCTATATATTTCGTTGCTTCTAGATATTGCAATACACATTTTTGCAGTTTCATCACTTAATTCTTCGACTGTATGATGTCCACTAATACAAGTGCTATATCTTTTCTTGATTCCAATAAAGGTTATCGACAATTGATTCGGGATGGTTTTATTTACAAATTCAATAAATAAACGTCTTCGAAAATATATTGGATCTGTAAAATCAAGAATTGTAAAGCCAAGGTTCACACTGATTCAAATGATAATTTTTTGAACTCGAGTGGTGAACATAATCATCTGCTTGAACCAGAAGATTTTGAAGTCCAATGTTTTCGAAAAATTCTCAAGGATCGCGTTATAAACGAAACAGCACCAATATCGAAGATATACGATGAAGAAATTGCTAAAACTCAATTCTCATCAGAAACGCTTGCAAGTGTTCCAATGCTTCGAGCTATACGTAAGGTTATATTTTTTCAAACTTCGGACATGTCTTAATATTCGTTTCTAGAACCAGGATTAAATCAAGCACGACGAAAATTAACACCAGTTCTTCCTGCTTCTACTTCATTTGATATTCCTGATTCTTACCAAATCACAGCTACTGGTGAAAAGTTTTTGATTTGCTACACATTGGTTTGTCGTAAAAAAAAAATGTTAATTTTTAGTAGTCCAAAACAACTTGAATTAGTATTTAACAGTTCTACTATATTAATGGATGGCGCCTTTTCAGCAGCACCACCATTTTTCGATCAAGTTTACACCATCCATGCTTTAAAATTTGAATGCAGTACGACATACATACTCTATTTCATAAGTATTCGAGTCTCTTTCCTCTTTTGCAGGTTTTCCTTGTGTGTTTGGCCTTTTACCTAATCGAAACAAATCGACATATCAACAATTATTTCAAGAATTAAAAGATGTAGCTGCATCCATGAATCAAATATGGAAACCTGAACGAATCATTACCGATTTTGAAACTAGTTTGATTCCCACGATATCTTCTAAAGTAAACCCTACCGATCACTTTCACAGAAACATGTCTGTTTTTCATTTTAGTTTCCTGAAACTTTACACAAAGGGTGCTATTTTCACCATAACCAGGCCATATATCGACGTATTCAAAAGTTGGGTTTAAGTACGGCTTATTCTGAAGATGAAGAAATCAGAAGTTGTTGTCGCAAATTAATGGCAATAGCGCTTTTACCACTTCATGAAGTTGAAAGTTCTTTTTTTAATTTACGCGCAACAGTAAATGCAAGAGTGAAGCGAGAACTTCGTCAATTATTCTTATATTATGATGATTATTGGATGAATAATGTACCATTAGAATTGTGGAATGTCCATGGTTATCAACATCGAACAAATAATGCCTGTGAAGGTATGTACGTCCTTTCTGTTGCAACATTAGATTACGATCTACATATAGGCATGCACCAGTTACAGTTTTTGGACGGTTAACTGTAACGGTTATAACTGTAACTGTTATAACTGTAAAACTGTAACTGTCATAACTGTTATAACTGTAAAACTGTAACTGTCATAACTGTATAACTGTTATAACTGTAACTGTTATAACTGTAAAACTATAACTATCATAATTGTTCCGAAGATAGTTCAGAATGAGTTATCGTTGTACTATTAGC